AAAACTATAAGCTTTGCAATTTAAAATGATTTTTATACCTTAAACAGTGTAGATTAAGTTTGCCACGAATATTTAAACACCCAGAAGGAGACCCTATGAAATATATGTATATAAATGATCAGTCGTCTATATATACGTGAAGAAGTTCTTAAGTTTTGGAGATATCGATCTGAAATTTTGCACAATAATGCACTTTGAGGTAATAATGTAACCTATGAACAAATTATTCAGATCGGATCACTCTAGCTTAAAGCTGCGATACAACCGAACGATCGAAATTTAGTTCTTTCAAAGAATCTTTTGTATTTTTGAAGGGTATTATAGCTTCGGTTCAACCGAACCGAAACGGTTTTTCTTACTATTCATTGAGTTATAAAATTCATGGGAAAAATTTGCCTTAAAATAATCAAACATCACCCGTTAACATCTTTTAAACGGACAGGTTTATGAAAAACCCTTTGCAGCAGAACTTTTTTTGAAGAGTATTAAATTTTCTACAAAGCCTATGAGATATTGTTTCAAGTAGTTTGAAGTGAGATTTGATTTTTTCTATCTATTAATAATAAATAAAAGAGAGTTTTTAAACGCAAAAGGGGGGACGTTCCCGTTACAATTAAGAACTCATATTTGGAGAGACTTTCTTAGAGAAGTCTATGGTAAGAACCTATTTTTGAGAGTGCCAAGCGAAAAAAAATATTCAAATTTTTCGACACACCCTAATATATACATTGCACAAACAGTGAAGCAGTGCAGCGAGTGACTAATGAGAAATGATACGGGCCTAGAACACTATGCGGCCACTGAGGTTACTCATACGCCCCATGGCAACGCTATTTCCTTGATTGCCGCCAAACTGCTCTTCCCTCTCTAACGCTATACATTTGCTATATATTGTCTATGACTATTGCCGGCTTTACTAAGCTGTTACTATTGATTGCTGCTGCTATATAATCTATATGCATGTATATATGTATGTGTATTTCTGTACAAATATACTTACGATATATTGTTTTGTTGCATTGTCAACACACCGATATGCTTGTTTCGCTCGGTGACAGTGCTAGCTCATGCATTTGTTTTTGCACTTAATGTCGCTTTAGGCAGCAACTCTGTTAGCCGATAAACTGTTGTATGTTGCGTAGACATACCAGATAAATTCATAAGCGGCTGCAAGCCAACACCCTGCCTTGTCGCAGCTGGACACACCTTAATTCAATATTGTTATGCTGTAACCGCTATTTCGAGGTTCAACGGCTGCCTTAGTCAGGCTTAGTGAATACTTTGCTTCTGAAATGCTGCTAGTGTGTATGCCCTGCAGATAACGCTAACACACATACATATATACATTATTAAATACCCACATGCTTATAACTGACTTACTCTACTCCTTAAGCATTAATGGCGTATGATATTTAGTTATCATACAAACGCCAGCATGGAATTGCTCGCCAGCTTTGTTCCTTTGTTTACGCACTTTTGTGCTTGTATATGTGTCTATGCGTGTGTGTGTATGGCTTGAGCGTCAAAATTACTGTCGTTCATTATAATTAATATTTCGTATCACTAGTCATCTACAAGGTATGCTCTAACCAACTGAAGTGACACAAGTGAATACTCGTAAGTACACACACACAAATACATACAAGTGTATGTGGAAATATGTACCTAATAATCAGCATCAGTTGCTGCCTGCAAGTGTTGCGGAGGCAAGCGTTTGGTATTAGAGGAGTAATGCATTGTTCTTCCGCTTTCTTTTTTTTCTCCATCTAACTAAGCTGACTGCGTTGACCATTAGGTAACAAGCAACTACTTTATCACTGACTTAAGCTCGTAGCAAGGAGACAATGGACACTGCCACAAGTAATATTGCACAAGTCCTCATAATAACTTTGCAAGTGCATTGCGTTGGAAAATTAACTATGCATTAATTTGGTTAACTTGGTGAGGGTTCCAAGTATTACTTTTGTTTATGAGTAATTGTAAGAAAATATTGGACGGCAAATACTAGTTGCAGATACGCTAAGTTTTTTGCTTTGCAAATGTTGTGGTCAGTTCAAACACTTGTGAGTTGTAGGCTAATTTTAAGGAAATTAAAAAGGATTTGTTCTTCTAATTTATTATTCTCGGTAGCTGAAAAATTATAGTGAACAGGCATAACTTTTGATACTAATTTTTATGCTCAATTTAACTCGAAATAAACTAAGCAATATTTCTTTATTTCAATTAGGTTAGGTTAGGTTATGACGTCGATCCCAAAAAGGATCCCACTTGGAGAGCTTGCAAGGTTCGCGCGCTCAAAGCTAGTATTGCCGTCCTACTGTCGGAGTGGATGCGCACTTCACTCACGCCACCTTGATAGCAGCCACTTCTGACTGAAAAACACTACAGTGATCCGATAGCCTGAAGCTAAGATTGACGAAGAGCTCCTTGCAGAAAACCCTCCCTCCAACCTTCCCTCCTAGCCTCGATCCATCCGTGAAAGAGCTTACCGCGTCTCTTCGCCAGCGGCTTCTTTCCATCCACATGTCCCTTGTTGGAATATGAGCGGAGAAGGAGCCGCCTCGAGTGGCCTCAGTGACGCAGTGATCTATATTTTCCGGAATGCCGCTGAAGGAGGAAAGAATTTTGGAGTGTCTTTGTTCGGACCTCTTCATAAGCCCAGCTTCCCTGAGCCTTAGAGCACACTTCGCGGCAATGCACCTACCGGCAATGTCCACAGGTGCTATGTTTAAAATAGCATTAAGAGCTATTGTAGGTGTGGTCCGCAGTGCACTGGAGATTTCGATGAGCGCCGCTCTTTGGACCCTTTCAAGCTTTTTAGCCAGTGTGGACCTTTCGAGCGCCCTCCACCAGACGAACACACCACAGAACATTATTGGCTTAACTACGGTTTCGTAGAGCCAGAACACCACCTTAGGTGAGAGTCCCCACCTTTTCCTAACTCTCTCCTCAATGTTTGGCCTCCAGGAAAGTTTCCATCGAGGATGAGCCCTAGGTATTTCACTTTCTCAGCAGGTTGAAGAAGTGAACCCCCGAAGGAGGGGAGAGGCACATTTGGTATCTTATACCTCCTGGTAAATAAAACCATTTCGGTTTTACTTGGGTTGACGGCTAGGCCGCTTCTATTCGCCCAGCTAGATACCACGTTCAGGTACCCCTCGGTGAGCTCGTAGACGGTATTCAGGAACTTTCCCTTAACCATAAGAACCACATCATCAGCGTAGGCTGTCACCCAACAGCCTTGCATCTCGAGTTCTATAAGTAGATCGTTTACCACCATTATCCAGAGCAGTGGGGAGAGTACTTCCCCCTGCGAAGTTCCCCTATTCACTTTTCTGGTTGTCTTGGCACCACCCCACTCCGCTGCGACAGTTCTGTCGCAAAGAAGACTAAAAATAAGGTGCTTGAGGTTAGATTCCACCTCAAACTTTTCGAGGGCTTTAACCACTGCCTCTGGTCGCACATTGTTGAAGGCCCCCTCGATGTCGAGAAAGCAAATTCCTTGTGCTTGAGAGCTATCTCCAGCCATGACACTACATCATGCAAAGCAGTGTCGACCGACCTGCCTTTGATATATGCATGCTGGGCCCGTAGCAGATTACCCCTCGGTATTCTGCTCCTAATGTACAGATTTATAAGCCTCTCTAATGTTTTCAACAGAAACGAGGATAAGCTGATGGGTCTGAAATCTTTTTCACCGACGTGAGAGCTTTTGCCGGCCTTCGGAATGAAAGTAACCTTAACCTGTCTCCAGACCTTCGGGACATGGCCTAATCTGACACAGTTCGCGTAGATGGGGGCCAGCCAGCTCAATGACATCTTAATCGTACGCTGTAATAATGCCAACGGGCCCCGGAGACTTAAAGGGTTTGAAAAATTTCAACGCCCAGGTAAGGTGACGATCGTCCAGAAGGTCCAAGAAAGCTCTACAGCCCTCCTGCAGCTCCCCCAGTGGCACTTCTACAGCAGAGTGATTTAGTGGAAAATGAGAATCCAGGAGTAGTTTCAACGACTCCTCGCTGCTCGTTGTCCAACTACTATCTGCATTTTTTAGATACCCCACTGGAGTAGAATTTTTTGCAAGAATGCGCCTGAATCGTGAGGACTCATGACAGCCCTCTACACTACCGCAGAAGGTTCTCCACGAAGCTCTCTTGGCTTTCTTCAACCCGGACTTGTAGATGGTCAGTCCGGCCTTGTACAACGCCCAGTCGTCACTAGAGCCGCTTTTACGGGCTTTGTTGAAAAGTCTTCTGCTCGAAGATCTGATCTCCGTTAGCTCCGAAGTCCACCAAGGGGGTTTGCCTGTGATTTTCTGAGTTCTCAGAGGACAGGAGCTGTCAAGAGTAGTTCTACTAACAGAGCTGAAAATCTCGACGAGCTCATCGACCGCATCCGCCGATAGGATCGAATCCCTGTCGGGTGCGATTGGAAGAGCTGATCGAAGCTTCCTGCAGTACAGGACCCAGTTGATGTTCCTAAAATTTCTATAGGTATTGAGCTCCGGGCGTGAGGCGTCTAGAACCCTCCATTCCGAAATCAAGGGAGCGATTTCCCTAGAGGCTAGCGTAACGTCAAGGACTTCCGCCCTGCTAGCAGTCACAAAGGTAGGGCTTTTCCCCCTATTACATATAGAAAGATCTACACTACAAATAAAATCAAAAAGTTACTCACCTCTTGTGTTAATGTGGCTCCACCTCGTCGTCGTGCGGCATGTAGGCTGAGACAAGCCAGAGTTCTCCAGCGCTGTCCTCCAGTCTAGCAGCGACGACATCCTCGTTGCTAAAATTAGGCAAAAAAAAACGTTAATTTCGTTTCTGATCAACAAGCAGGCTCTGTTTCTACCTGTACTGTTTGCCGTCAGGAGCTTGTGGCTCTTTGTCCTTAGACCAGAGATACCGTTTCTGCTCAGCCACGGTTCCTGGATAAGGACAACGTCGGCTTCGTCCCGTCCTAGACGAAGCACTAGATCGGCGGAGGCCGCCTTTGAGTGCTGGAGGTTAATTTGGAAGATCCTCATCCTCTAAACTCCTCTCCAGCAGTGCGAGTGCGGCACCATCATCCGTACTATCGACCCCAGCATCCTCGAACAGGCGCTCGAGACTGAAGACGGATCCATTATCGCATGACGATTCGCCATCCGTGCTCACCGTATCCGAGAGGATGGGGTCGATGTCCATTTTAGAGTGGGTCGCTCTCCCACTCTCTTCCACCTCAGCTGGTGGCAACGGGCCATCAGCCCTGCCTTTAATTGGGAGAATTTTGAGAACGACCCTCTCGAAGCCATAGCTTATGGCCCCCTTTGCAATGCTGAGAGGATAGAGGGACTCCTTGTTTAGGAGTATCAGCGCTCGCCGATATGGTTCCTCGGTCCTCTCCAGCCTAACCACCTTCCAATCTTGGGTGGGAAGAGATGGATTGCAGTACCGCAATATCTCCTCAATTTCGGTCGGGGTAGAGGGTTCGGCCGGAAGCCAGACACGAGAACGAGGTCGCATCGGAAGATCCGATTTGGCCACCCCCTCGAGCCTTTCTCCCTTCCATACTTCCCCACCCTGGCTACCGCCTCCTTATAAAGGAATGCCGACCGTTCGTTGGCACACCTTATAAGTTTGTGTAAGCCGAGGTTCCACCTGGCACTTTCACATCTAGGGGGTGGTCCAGGGCTTCCCCTGACCACCTTCTTGAACACAGCAGAGATATCAGCCGCTACCCGTTTCCACTCATCATGGGAGATGGCTCCATCTCCCCTGCTGCTATAGTATACCCCGAGCTCAATTGAGCTGGCAAGTTTAGCGATTTCGCTAAACATCGGTGCCACTCCGACTCGAGGCTTCTTGCCGAGGGCGGATTCCCCCTCCTGTGACCTCTGTCGCTTCATCGAGGTGTGGGGTTCGATTGGCCCCACTTTCCCGTCATTGACCTCGCTTAGCACCCTTTTGGCCCACTCAACTGCCCTAGCATGCTGATCAAATTTCTGGTCAGCCTGCTTGCCACCGTAACGCTCCAAAATCTTGGTAGCCAGCCGACGGTCCGACTTCAGATTTTTAGCTGTGGTCAGGCGTTTCCCCCCGGAACCCTTAGCTTTCCCTGAGGACCCCGCGCCCCCCATGTACTTAACAGAGGTTCCTCTGCTAGTGTACCACTACCCCCGCGTTACCGCCCCTAGTGATGGTAAGCCGGGCAACCCGGAATTTTTCTCCTCACCCTTAGGCGGAGACGGTTTCGTCCCCATAGGTGAGGATGCCCCCCCCAGGGAACTGTCCACTTTTCAAGAGGTCGGTTTCGACCCGCTTCCTCCATCGTTTTTACTTGTTTTTGTCACATGAGAACTAATACCAAATTTAGAATGTACTAGAGCCCAGTTAACAATAATATGTGAATGAAAAATATTTGACTCCTGGAAGGTTTTTTTAAGTCTCTAATAATATTTCGCTAGTATTCCAGCGCTCCATTTCTCTTGATAGTGCTTCTCCATTAAGGATATGTCCTGATGGAAACTCGCGCTTTATTCGTCACTAATAGCATACATAAATTTACCGGAAAGAAATCCATATGAGCGTCCAGCATAAGTATTTAGGTATTTTTAAGGACATATTCCACCACTAAGCTTTATATGATATAATAAGTTTATTTATTAAGTTTTAGTAATTTTCCGAATTATGGTTTCCTAGTAGACAAATAGACTGAGAATTCAGTATTTCTTCAAAGCTCTTTTTTTATAATTTTAATTAATTTAAATACATACTATATACTTTTTTTGAAAAACACCGACTACATTAACAACCCCATAATCACAATCAGACGAAAATTTTTGCAATACTATTCGATCTGTAATTTCGCACAATCTCTCATTTGTCATCTGCTATCGGACCATTATAGATTGTTGCTGCCACTATAGTAAACTGGCCGAGTTAATCAAGATCTTCTTAAAATGTCTTGTTTTCTTAATACAACAACTATATGCATATATGCTTGAATAGTAAAAAGTCGCTCATAAGCATATTTTATCAAGAAAAAAAAAACTATGTAGAAAACTATAACCAAATTGTTAGTACATAAAAGTACCAATTGCGTTGTGACCACAACAGGTGCCCAAATTGTGAAATTTTGCAAATTTATTTTCAGTAAAAGTTTCATACATTTTGCTGTCAATATAAAAACCATTTCTAAAAGTTAATTTACTCTAATTTTAAATATTTTGATCAGTTTTTCGCACTAACAAATCTGCTTGATGATATTCATACTTCGAAATATGCAAATATGTAAGCACACGACTGGCAAACATACATATGTACTTACATACACTTCGCATAAGTTCGACCACTGTGGGTAAAGCGAAATCAAGTGCTCGTAAAGAATGCTTAAAATGTATACCCTCAATTGGTTCAATTTGAATGGAAATTGAACGTAAAAGTTTATTTTCAAACTTTTACTTTCAAACAAACTATACCAATATATTAATGTGAATGTGTTGGGGAGTTAACCAGCAGGCACACTTACATATGCATATACATAGTGTATGTATGTAAATATGCTGGTTTAAATTTGCTTAAATGCGCTGGCGCACAATTTGCTCACTTATGCAGATATATATGTTTGCGTAGTATATGTCTGTATGAAGTATACACATGTATTATGTATGTACGCATATATGTGCTGCGTATGCTAGTGTGTGTTGAAATAATTTGATTACAATTTTCGGAGCGGAAATCTATATGTTAAAGTTACAAATTTGTAAAATATTTCAGAACATGCCGGAGGACATTCGAAGAAACTTGCATAAGCATTAGGGTGTTCGTTATTACGCAAGTTGTTTTGTTTATTGCAAATACCCTCTAAAGTTTCATTTTTTGCCCTAAAAATGAGGATAAAATATAAAGAAGCTCTTTTTTCAATTTAAACCTTGTCTAAATCATTTTACTTTATATATAATAAGCAAATAAACCTACACCTTAAAAAAATATATTCTAATGTAAAATTTTTTGCTCCACAAAAAAAAAAATTCCAAATAATTTCTTTCATAAAAACATGCTTTAAAAGTTAAACGCAATTCAAATTATGCATCAAATATACTGCATTCATACAGTACACCATGTCGTATGAGCAACGTGGAAATCACTTGAATGCATTTTTAAAGCGAACAAATTAAAATTCTGGTGTCGTTTGCTAAAAAACACACACCTCGGAAAATAACGGACACCCTGATATAGATATATATTATACATATAATTTTGAATGCATTTTATTTCATAGGTAATTGCATTTGAATATATACATACATAGTCACTTCAAAGGGTTGATATTATAGTACTTAATTTTGTTGTCGAAAAGCCTAATAGCAAACATTCTTGCAATAATATTTTCATTAATTCACATATTTTACAATTCAAGCCAGGAGAAATATGAAAAATTTAATTTTCAATAAGGAAGTAAGTTCATGCAACCAATGCTTAATTTAAGCATCTCTCATCATATTCTCTCTTTAGTATTAGAATTACCTAATTTTATAATCTTTTATCATTATGACTTGATAAGAATATATTAAAGAGGTCCGAATTTCATCACTAAGAAGCCCAGTTTTCCTATCAATGCGGTTAAAGCCAAAAAAGACTAAGATATTATGGAAGTATAGTAGTATTTATAATATATTTTTGATAAAATGTTTCCCAACAAATAATTGGGGCGTTCGAAGACGATTCACGGGAGGAAAAAAAATTAAAAATTGCAGTTTAAACTTTACTTATATTATAATTTGTAATATGTAGCTTGTGCTGACGATAAAAATCGTAGTCTACATAATTTATTCTTGATATACTGAATCATGATTTAGTCCTATACAAATACCTTAAAAGGTTCTGTACGCAGTACTGTTTCAAAGAGTATAGCGTTTCATCAAAAAACTGTGTGGATCTTCTGCTTCGGGTTGGAAAATTTATTATTGGCTAGATAAAGAACTGACAACGAGCAGAGAAAAACGGATCGGCATACACCATTTATTTATTGACTTGTATATATTCTTGGATAATATAAAAATACCTTCATCCGAAATGGAAGGAACCTCTTCAAACATTTGTATATCAAATATCAGTTCACATAAAGAATCTTTATGCCAAGCGGCCCTTTTAATTTAATATTGGAGAAAACAGGACGACAGTACAAATAAATTATATTGTCATAACGGTCCTTGTGAAGTGTTCATAATTGAAACTTTTAAGTTGTAGACAATATTTCCTTGGAATCAGCATATGTGACAAAAATAAGCTTAAACTCAACATATAAACGACATCGCTAACAGATGGAATTACAAATTTTGAAATAAAAATATTCTGTTGACGACGTTAAATAGCGCCATGTATGCCAATTTTTATTACCTAATAATATATTATATATGAGTGTCAATCGTGGACGATATCAACAATTGATGAGGTGATTCTGATAGTGTTCGAAAATAAGTTTCAGCGTAGGAGTTACGGTTATACTGAATAGTGATAAAAGGTCTAATAAACTGTAAGTTCTTACCAAACAAAATTTCACCATTTTTAATGTGAAGCATAAATCATTGCGAGTACATGGGTTCATAAATTTATGTGCACACACTTTTACACATATGTATTCTTTCAAAACAACTTCAATTAGTTTGCCGCAGCTGTATTGAACATAGCACACAACTAATTGGCCTGGGAAAAATCTGCTGCAACTTCTCCAAAGAAGCAACAGTGAGGTTAAACTTGAAAGAGGCGGGCGCAGCAATAGACAAGTGAACATTTATACTTAGCTACATACACACAAGTATATGTATACATGTCTAGTATATGGAATTTGTTAGTATACATATGTTTTTGTTGTTGTAGTTGCAGAAGATTTTGCACAGCATAAACTCCGAATAATATTAATTTCTTTTGGTTTGCGAAGAAATCCATGAACTTTGAACATTCTGTTCTACCAACCAGCAGATGTACAGGCAAAGGAAAAACGTGGCCATAGAGTTTATTGAAAATTGCAACTCAGACAATTACAAGCATCTACATACATATACACTTAAACATATACACAATATACAAAAGTACGGGAAAGAGAGTGAGGGGTGGGTGTGTACATACAGTAATATTAGAGTAATGTTGCAAGGTTTCGCAGTTCGTGGCAGTTTACAGATACGCTGCACTTAATATTTATAAGCTGTTTCCTTGGCGAGATTAACACGTACATAGGTATTCGTATTTGGCTCTAAACAAAAAGCAAAAGCTGAGAAAGGGAAGAGAAAAATAATGCGTTGCCGTTGCACAGGGGACCATAATTAATGCTGCAACATGCCAAAGTTGTAAAAGTTTTTGAATTTTAATTGCTATTTAATTTCCGCAATAGTTCCCTTCGAAAACGTTTCATTAGCCACGTTCTTCTGTAGCTAACAGCTAACCTATTTAGTAAGTGCACTAAGAAATCGAGAGCACATCGGCTTAGTAGAGAGGCGAAGTACTTAAAGTTACTGCTCGTGTAAAATTTCATAAATACTTAATGCGGGCAAAGCGACTAGGGATGTACAGGAGAAATTTCAATTAGGTGCGTAAGCGTGCACCTTGGCTAAAGTTAGGCATTATATTTCAACATAGACTTAACATTTTGTTAATATATTTGGTTTATTAGCGTTGAATTGCATCGATATTGTCGGTTCACAGGTCTCACGTATAATTTGCAACAAATTCAAGGCAATCACTTTATTTAAGTGGTGTTTCTAAAGCGTAAGCAATTTTAAAATAAATCAGAGAAAGTCAAGGCTTCTAGTTTAAAAAGCAAGGCATTTGGAAAAAAGCAATACTGTTCGGTGATTCGATTCATGTTTTTGGAAGGGAAATTGTGTAATGAAATCAGTGACAGTATTGAAGGTGCGCGAGATAGCTGTGGACTTCATCACATTTTCTGTTAAACAAAAATATCGTATACCACCACCAAGACAATGCACTGATAAATCATCTGGATAAAGTCATACGCCTGACAGAGTTTTGAGTTTATTGAATAGGCATACCTTTCTGGCGGTCTGAAAGCACGTATTTTTCAGTTGGGGTAAAAGAGTTTACTGCATTGCTGGGCCAAGTGTATGGAGCTATAAGTATA